CTATTAAAATATTTTTCCTATATTATTTGTTTTCTTTAAAATTTACTTAATTTCTTATTCATACATTTTAAATATATTTTTGCCCTGTGTGGATTGTATAGCTATGAAGTCTATGTAGATATTTTTCCACCAAAATGCTACGTAAATATGTGACGTTTTGACTAGTCAGAATCATTATTCCAGATATCTTGAATGTCATTTTGACTAGTCATAATGTTAATTCAAGATATCTTAAATAGAAAAGCCCTCTGGATGAAAATTTATTCACGATATCTTAAATTCATTTAGAGATATCTTAAAATGAATTTTGACTAGTCATAATTACAATTCTAGATATCTCTAATTTAGTTTTGACTGTCATTATTTGCTTTCAAGATATCTGTAATTGAATTTGAACTAGTCAAATTTTTATTTGTGATATCTAAAAGTACATTTAAGATATCTTAAATAATGATATCATTTAAGATATCTTTAATTGGAATTATGACTAGTCAGAACTAAAAGTGAGATATCTTGAAAGCAACTAGTGACTAGTCAAAACTAACTTAGAGATATCTTGAAATGTATTTTTGACTAGTCAAAATTCCTTTTAAGATACAGTATCTTGAACTGAAGCCTCCACAGAACTCAATGGTAAATCTGATGTCATTTATACTAGTCAAAATGTAATTAGAGATATCTGAAATAGGTGTTTTTATTAGTCAAAATATAATTAGAGATACTGTATCTAATAATGAATATGACTAGTTATAATTCAATTTCAGATATCTGAAATGGAAGTGTCGTATTATGCTAAAATGGCTTGCCGTAATGTTCCAAATGTGTTCAGACTATGCAAACCAGTATGTTGGTAATCAGAAAATTCATTTCATAACAAAAACAAAAACTTGTTTTTGGTACAAATCAGTATACCGCTCATCTCTAATTCAAGTCCTGCTATCCAAACAGACCAGAAAACCAACAGTTTTGCCCTTTGAAACAAATTAAAATTACTATATATTATGGTTCAGACCAATAAGAAAATAGGAAGTTAGCTAGAACAAGAGCCTCAGTGAATTCATCTTTACTCACTTTTTCCTACCCAGGTCAATGGTGTCTATGTCCAGCAGTCACTGTGCAAAAAGCAAGTCTTTTGTCCATCACAAGGACACAAAGAGACAAACAAGATAATCATTCATAATCTCACCCACACCTTGAACAATTATTTACCAGTAATGCCTGTGTTTTTGGTCTGAGAGAGGAAACCAAAGAACCTGGAGAAAACCCACACCTGCATGGGGAGAACACTAAGATTACACTAAGAAAGGGGAGAACACTAAGATTCCACTAAGAAAGGGGAGAACACTAAGATTCCACTAAGAAAGATTCCAGGCTGGGAGGTGATCCTGTGACATTTTCACTGAGAGGCAACAGCTTTAATCACTGAACAGACAGAACTTAAGGCTTAAACAACATGCAAAAGCTTGGTTGACCAGATTAAAAGCTGCTTTAAATTGAAATGAAAGAGTCATTTTCATTGAAAATTAACAAACTCAAAAACAGTTACTATCAGGCGAATTTCATGTGGCGCTTCAGGCCATTTTCATAACATTTAAGAAGTGTCTGGACAGAAAAGACAGTGACAGCCCTCGACTTGAGTTCTGGGATGGCCGTCCGCCAACAGAGATCACCTTTAGCTACATAATCCCAACTTCATAACAATAAAAACCGCAAAAAGTCAAGACTGCATGCAGTTAAGCCTAAACAAATGTAAAACAGTCTTGTTTTGATCTCTTTACTTAAAACTAAACAGATGAATAATGAGTTGAACATGCAGGACTTTCACTGGCAGAGAGCAGCATGCGTGTTACAGTGAGGAAGGGTCGTGAGCAACGAGTGTCTGGAGAAGGGTTTATTGGTTTGTGGAGGAGTTTGAATGAAGCCAATCAGCAGCTYCAGCTGTAAGCCAGGCTTCTGTTCCTGTGGCGGCGTGGGGGATGGGTGCTTCTGTTCGCCACCAATTCAGTTTGTTTGTGCTGAAATGCTGCAGARGTAAACACGTATTCGGCTCGTAAGCCTTTTCTCCTGGTAGATCCCAGGTAAATAAGGTTCACCGATACTGCCTTGCTCAGGTGCTTTGTGTTTTATATCAGGGAGGAGTAAAAAATTTCAAGAAAAGACGGGTGAGGAGACATCACTGAGTAGAACAGCTAAAGGGAGTGCACATACTGAGGAGAAACCAAGAACACGGTTGATTTAGGAGTTTTAACTGGCTTCYCTGTTTTGGATAAATGTAGCTGCGAGTAATGGGATTAAAAGAGGAAAATACAAATGCAGACCAAGAATTGAACAGTGATGACACAAGAGGAACCGACTTGCCATAGCATTCACTGACAAATAAAACAAGTCTATTAGTTTTATTAGCTGGGTAGGAGGTGTTGAATAGCTTGCAGCCACC